AGTTCAGCTGTGCGGGGTCAGGAGGTACAGCACAGAGGTATTTCAGAAATACCTCTAACTTATTTGCCTGGGTAATCATGCAAGGCCAATCATTTTCAGACATTAAGCTCAAGAAAAACTGCTGACATTACTGAAAAACCCTTTAATGTTTGTTGTTATAGCCTTGGTAGATAGGACGTGAGGATTTAACCCGGAAGCTGTATCTAAGAAACAAGGTGGACAGAAAGTCCTGATGCTGAACGGGGAATCCACACCATCTACTCAGGCAACCTGGTCCAAAAAGTTAAACAAAATGAAAAAACTTCTATCCCAATGGCAAAAAACCCTCAGAACTACCAAAATTAAATCATTTTTTCAGAATCCCAAATCCAAATGCAGCTACTTATCCATAAAAGGACTTACATTTAATATGCTGACCAGCATTTTAATGCTGCTTTTGCTCTTGAAAAAACAATTCTAACACCCTTCACCTGGTAGTATTTTGTATAGATATGCAAAATTTTCCTCTTACTGTACGGTGTCCCCTTCAATTTCTAATTAAATTATTTGTCCAGCAGTAAAGAAATAAAATTCTTAAAGCAATTCTTCAGTGACTACAACGAAGTTTTCTGAGCCTCAAAACCAAAACGGGTCATTTCTTCCTGTTTCACACACTTTACCTCTTTGTTTCATCACTTGCAGAGACTGGAGCAGGCCAAGGGACGGAAGTGGGGATAACTGTACTTGCACATATTGGCAACAGAGCAGTGAGCACCACACTAGCTTAAAACGCACTTACTAAATACCACAGAAATCTGGTTCTGTCTCCACTGCAGAAAATGAAACTGTAAGCTGAATACAGTCTGAACAGCTCCTCCAAAAAGCAAACCAGTTGGTTTGTATGAAAGGCAGTGCAAAATGAGAGCCGGACCAGTAACCGTCAAAGCAGAAACGTATTCTAAAATGTACAGCAGAAAAGCAAGCCGGCAGGGCATGGTACCCTCCGACTGAAAGACCACCTCACAGTGACGTGAGAGATGCGTGACACCGAGAGCTACGCGCAGCTGGCAAGCAGGTCAGAAGGGATGCGTGCCCACCTTCCCAAGTCTTCCCGAATCACGTGCTCGTTTCTGATCCCCTTTTTTCTAAACCTCCACCTTTCCGATGGGAATAGAAGCCAGTCCGCAACATTTAAATTCAGATTCCACACAGTAGGGGGAAAAAAAAACAAAAACAAACAAACCCAAACCAAAAAACTCCAAAAAACAAACAGCAAAACCCCAACAGCACACTTCTTGTGAAAACGGCACGGGTGGCTGTTTTAAAGCCACGGCCATCGCCACGTACCTTAGAGCTAACAGCGCGGGGCACTGGGAACACACCAGTTCCCAGA